CAACGCTGAAATTATGGCCATTCCAAGCACAGGAATGGGTCATAAATGCCTTGAATTCTGGGAGCGATGAAACTCGACATGTGGCTCTCCAACTCTTCAAGTCAATGGAGGGGCATGCTGCTGCTTGACATACTTTGTGTTAAGATAGGTGCCGGCAGAATTGTCCAACCCCTGACAGTTCGCCAGTCTTAGTCGGTTTGGGTTGCAGCTTGCCGTAACTGCTGCCAGAACATTCACGCTAAGGATGCAGACAAGGTAATCGGCTGCACCTCGCTGGCACTGCATGCGCGAAGGCGTTTGGTATGTCGGGCTCGTGATATTGTCAGGTATCATTACGTCCATGTTCCAAGCTGCTGCTGATGATCCGCCTTCGTCGCAAGCTTGCATCTTCGACGCCTTGGTCACTGCGAGCAAGCGGGACTATCAGACGGAGCCTGTGCCTTCATTCACAGAAGTCTCATGTCCTACCGCTGCGCAGATGCTGGGCACCTGAGCTAACCCGAGGCTATCAGCCTCCTCTCAGAGCGGCTGCAGCCTACTCAACCTACTTGGGTACAGTCACGAGCTGCTGCCGCAGCTGCACAGACTGCTGCCGAGGCGCACATCACATTCCTGAATACAATCTGATGATAGTTGTATCCTGCAGACTCACTCTAGAGTTCGCAAGGAGGAGCACTCGATCACAACTGCTCTTCGCGACTTCTGGCTGCATGTTAACTCCTTGGTTCGAACTGCGCTCGAAACTTCAGCTCCCTTTGAAGAACCTTCAAAGAACCGCTGAGACAGTTTTCAAGGATTGACAGCGTCGGCCCCTATGAGAATGAGATGCGAACTAGATACTACTCCGTCCTAGCGTGTTGTTCTTCGGCAGGCCACCGTGCCAGGCTAGATGTTGCATCCCACAATGTTTCAAATGGCAGTGCCAGACGAACTATCAGTTTGGTCGTAACAGCCAATCCTCCAAGCTGGCAGCACGGGCTCTTCAAGCGAGGGCACTCGAGAGCTTTCACATGCTAGATGTGGAGATGGGATGCGAGTGAAGGTCGAAACCCGGTGCGTAAGCAGACTGCCAGTCTCAAGAAGTCTTGTGGCCGAGCTTATGGTTTTGATTCCGCTGTCAGTCAAAGGGTTTCCTTCAGTCTTTGCCATCTCTCAGGAATTGCTGAAGAGCCTCACTGGTGGTCATCTCGTGATGGTCGCAGCAGGACTGTTGCAAATTTCACCGGCATCTTATGGAGAGGCGATTGGGTGCCTTTGCCTGGAGTTGAACCGGAATCGAGGTATAGACCGTCTCGACACCATCAATGCCCTCTCGAAATATACCAGGGAGTCTGACAAATCTGTCATCGATGGTCTTTCAACATACCTCCTGCATGCCAAACGTATTCTTGAGAAGGATGGGACGCCACCGATAATGGCTGCACTGCGTACACTGAAAAGGGTTGCTGAGCCATATCCGGAAAGGATTGATGAGGCTCGCACAGGCGTGCTGGCAGCTTTGGCAGCCAAGACGGCTGCCACGGGCGGGAAGGAGTACATGGTCAAACTTGCAGCCCTCGCCAAAGAGCAGGGAGCACCTCCGCGGACAGTGCTCGTTGAGCTCGCGAAGGGTTTTCAGAACCACAACAGTTCAGTAAGAGATGCTTGTAAGGGTGTCTTTGGCAAGCTTTGTCAGCCCGGTGATGACACGGCGATTGACGTCGTGATGAAGGCGATTCAAAGCGACATTTACGGATGGTCCCGATGTGCAGCCATCGAAGTGCTGCCAAAGATTGTAGCAGTTCCCCGGCCAGACGTGACTGGATGTCTTCTGGAGTTGTGTCGCGAAGCAGATGTGGCTATCCAATCGGCGGCCCTTGGTGCCTTGAGGCCGGCGACGAGCCCGTTTCCTATCAAGCAGCAGTCGGTTTTTCAGCGTTGAAGCAGTTGCCTTGGCGCGGGGGATGCTAGCCTCTACTCTACAGTGTGAAACGAGTTAGCATCTCACGGCATGTCTCACTCCTGGTTGCGAGAAGCTAAAGCGCCTCTTATCACCTCTTATCTTCTCTTGAAGTTTGCACAGGCTCTGCGCTTCACCGTCCAAAGAAACAGCGGAGGTTGCGAGGAGCCATCTGCAGGCCTGGACTCCGGCTTCGCCGTATGCCCCATGTCATTGCCCTGTGGGTCATCCCCTGACAGGACACAGACGAGTCGGTTCGACTGGAAGCCATGCAAAGCCTCGGGGCACTGGAACCGCAACAAGAGCTTCTGCTGGGCGTGCTTCTGGAATGCACTGAGGATCGGGAGACAGAGCTCAGACATGTTTGATCGTCCGATGGTTCCGATGACATGCATGCTTGTGCGTGCTCACGGTATAGCATTTGTGCGAATGCTTAGACATGGGCTCGTGCAACGCGTAACCCGCACTCTGGGCTAGATGTAGAAGGAAAAGGGTTCCGCCCAGACAGCCTCAAAGGGTGCCAAGGGTCGGGAAAGCATGGACCAGCACAGCGGCCTTTTGCCTGTATAGGTCTCTGTACAGTTTCCGGACGATCCACAACCATTTCTCCATCTCGCACAACTTTACTTCGTTTTGCCTCACGGCATCTACGGCTGACCGAACCGAACTGAATCCTCACCGTCAGGAACACCGAGCCTGCGGGACCTTGACTGAACCACGTGAATTTGTAAGACCGGCTTGGTCGAGGAAGAGCTCCTGTGACGCCATCACCAGCTCCCGAATCTCAGTGTTCGGCCGAATGCGAGATCTGATATGCTTGAAACAGGATGAAGCGTCGATCGTTGTCGTGACTGCCATTGAGCTCATGGCCACTGTGCCCGCTGCTGGTCGCGAGCAGGACGGGAGAATAAGGGCATAAGGACCCTGTGCCCTCTGACACTTTGGCTTCTTATCTGAAACGTGTGGGAGTTCAGGAGCATGGCTTCAGCTCGAAGCAGCTTCTGTGGGAGCTTTCATAGTTCGAAGAAGTTCTTCGGTCGGGATCCGCTCAGCGGCCTTCGAACGGCCAACGAATTTCGATTGAACAAGACATCGACATCGTTCAAAAAGTCTCAAAGTCAAACGGTGTCACCGTGGCCGAGCTCGAAGGATCAAAGCTTCGTTTGGAGTCCGACGCGGTTTGCATATTGAAAGGATTTGTTCTCTCTATCATGCAAGCTTTTCCCCGGGTAGTGTGGCACAACAACAGGGCTTTGGGCGCGAAACTTTGTAGCGTCATCTTCCTCGTCCCTGCCAAAGGAAGCCTCGAGCAGGGCGTGCGACCCGAAAACGCTGTTAGTCTCCATCGCAAAGCGCAAGAAACTGCTGTAGTTCTGTTTCTGGCACAAGCCCCTGCAGATTTGAAGTTGGAGAGATGCCTGAGTGTTTCACGATGTGTGCGTGTTCGACGTCCCCGGCTGATGCGGCCGGTGTGTGACTTTGCAAAGAACGATAAGAACGGTCGAAGGTGTGCAATGTGTGATCTTGCCACCGCCGGGGCCGCGATGGGCCGCGGTACCGCCATATGTGCTTGGCGCACTCGCGTTGCGAGACAGAACGAGTGTGCACGCTGGCGCAGAATCATTACCGTCTCAAAATGACAAGCACGAGATTGCAACATCCTATGCGTGTCCTGTACTTCGGCGCTGGACATGAATCGTGCTCCTTCCAGAGTCCCGTGCATGTTTTGGGCACTTTTTGCTTCCGCCACAATCTCGTGTTATTTTGGCTTTCAATTTGCTTGCCCACTTTGTTGGGTGAACTCGTGCTGCAGCAACAGACTTTGGCTGGGGCGCCAATGAAGCTCTCGCCACCGTGGCGGGTGCTCTTGGACAAGGTCTCGGGTACGCAGGGCGTTGACTGCAAGGTGATCTTTCTCTGTTTTGGGATTTCGGGGTCTGCGCTGGCTTACTTTCCTGTTGAGGTGGATCAGAATGCATTCTGCAGATAAAGGGTGTTGTCGTGTTACTTGGGCTTTCTGACGGTTTCTGAGATTTTCTGCTGATAGGGCATGCATTCGGCCTCAGTTGGAGGTAGTGGACGGGCCCGGAGGTGGCTAGGCGCATGCATGCTGTCCTTGCCTGTGCAGTTTTACGCGCTGCCCTGTGCGGATGGCCATATTCAAAATCAATAATTATTCAGTCGCACAGCTAAAACTAACTTCTTGAAAACTACTATGGGTTACGTAAAAGAAAAGTCAAGTCAAAACGTTCAAAAAATTGCAGCGGAGCGACAGCAGACGCTGGTTTTCTAACGGAGCTCAGGATTCTGCGCCAGGCTGCTAGGATGGCCGCTTCTGGGCTTCTGGGGAGGCATTTCTGTGAGGCTAGCGCCCTTTGACCTCCCGAGCCACTCTTCGAAGTTTGCGAATCTGCCAGCTTTCAGATATCAAGCTACATCAAGCTCTCAAGCTGTCACGTGCACAAAGCTTTCCTGCCGTCATGCTGGCAGGAGGTTTGCCACAAATTGGCGACACTACTCCAGCATGCGAACTCACAAGTCCGCGAAGCTGCTGCATCTGCGTTGGGACGAATGACTGGCGATGGCAGGGCTTTTGCAATTGGCCTGGCTCTTAGTGCCGCGCCGAGCATCTTCCAAAGCATGTGAAGCTAGTACGCGTCGTCAGAGTCAGAGTCAAGCGAGTCGAAGGTGCACTCGAGCAGCCGACTCATTGGCCTGAAACAGACATCGCGGTGCTTCGTGCTCGGGAAAAGGCACGGCAGAAGTTGGGCACTGAGCCATGACAGCCAACGGCCACGGGCTGGGATGCTGAAGGCAACTGGCCCAATTGTTGCTGCCCAGCTTGAGTATTCCAGCACATCCGAGTGCCGTCGGCAAAACAGGGCCCGGCGAAGTTTGTTGCACGTTGTTGACACCAGCTGAGACAAGCCGAGGCACGAAGTGTTCGCAGGTGAAGTCACACAGTATCGAAGTGCTGATGACTCTGATGACCTTTGGCTGAAAGCTGCAGAGATAGAATAGATGCAGCACGCTTAGCTTCGCTGCAGCGTCCGTGGTTGGCATGGCGAAGCTCTTTTCCGGACATGATAAGACACGCAGCGGCAGTCAGACAGTTTTGGTCGGCGTGATCGCTGTGCTTTTATGTCCTGTGTTGTGAACGCTTTCAGGTATCACTTGCATGCTGTTTTGGGACTTCTTGCGCTTCTTCACTTTGTCTACAGACACTTGCCTGCAGACGGAGGTTCTTAAAAGACGATAATCGCGCGAAGTATCAACTTCTTTGCACCCGTGGCCTCCAGCCACATATCAAGTGCCTAAGATCAGCCCACCAAAAGTGTCGTTCGTGCTATGTAATTCACTCGTTTGTGTGGGGACAGGTCTTGAGGAAGGTCAAGGGAGCAGTAACCACTTTCTTGAAGCGCGATCGGCAAGCTGTGTCATGTCGGAGCATGCATGCCAGCCTTTCTGACAATGTACCAGATGCTTGAATTATGTGCCTTTTCCAGCCTTCCTGCAAGCCGTCCTGGGCACACGAAAACTTTAGACACAGTGAAATGAAGCATCAACATCCGTTACATGCAACCCAATCGCTCACCAGCGGAGGATTCTATAACGTTCTGATCCTACAGCCGCTTCTGCTGAACATTCTGTGCTCGGGGTGTTTGGTGCTTGGAAGCGGTGCATCGTGGCCACACTTGCTTAGTGCGTCTTCAGGCGGGAGTCCTTCCAGCAGAACAGTTTTTCCGTTGCTTGCCTACTGGTTCACGTGCTGCTGCACGCCCCGAGACTGCAGTTATGTCACTTGCTGCGCCAGTCAGTGCTAGTTACTCGTTTGCAGCTGCGCAAAGGCTCTCAGCTTCCAGTTCGAATTGCCTCGGCACCACGGCAAAGAAAAGCAGATGATCTTGGTATTTCTGCATATGTTCATTGCTGCAAGTCAGGAACAGAATCTGGACGAAGCCTATGATCTGGAGGCATATAAGTATCCCGGATAACCTGCCATGCCAACCGCGTTTTCGGATTAGTGTTGTTGCTTCTTCACCAGGGAGTTTCGCGTGCACAACGCTCTGTTCGCTATGCGCCATCTGGCTGCGTGCTTAGTTGCCGTACGAGGTTGAAAGCGTGGTCGTTGTAAGGTTGCAACGGAATTCCGCGGCTAAGGTCGCTACTGCCCTCGGCATTTGGGCCCCGGATTGGTGGCTGCGGCAGCCAGGCATTGTCGCCGTAGCTGCCAAGGCACCGGGGTCTGTCGCCTTGACAAGTTTACACAAGCCAGCCCTGTGATGCTGCTGTCTCATGAGAGCTTGTTGGTGTGTTCGCAGGTGGGCCTAGTGGTAGCTACCTGCAAAGCAGCCGACATCACGACTGAACAGATTGGCAGCACGGACCGCCTGTCAAATCCATATTCGCATTTATTCCGTGCGGCTCATCGGCTGTGTCCCAAAGTTGCAGCTGCACACGACGAGGACGATCGTACTACCAACGCGATGTGTTTGGCTTAGATGCTGTATCGCTTTTCCCGATTCTGGTGGCTGCACACCGTCGTGAGGCCATACCCCAAAAAGACACCTGAGACACTTGAGAAGGTGGCTGTTTGCTGCAGTCTCTACTGATGGTTCTTAGATTGTTGTCTTGTCTTGCGTGGTTCATCAGACTCGCAGGTTGCCAAAAGATTCTATGCCAAGTCGCAGTTTGCAGCAACTTCACTCGCTGTTTCTCGGGCCGCCAAGAATTGGAGTTTGCAGTTGCGAGATCACTCGTGGACCGCAGGCATGCTCAACATCGTGCACCATCTACAGGAATCTGTCTTCACTTCGCAAATAGGTCAAAGCTGTTTTGTGGAATGTCGGTTGCTGCCTGGACCTATCCGGCTGTCGAATCTGTGCCGATTGTACTCGTAGCGTTTCTTTGGAGGTGTGCGAAGTCCATCTCTCCCAGCTTCTGGTCTAGGAGGAATCCCGCTGAACTTTGGGTCCTCCGAGTCGGGAATCCAAAAAGAGGGGGGGGGGGTTGTGGATGGGCGTGAACGCAGGGGTGAACGCAGGGCAGGGGTGAACGGGGGGGTCGACACCAAACACGGCCTTGGGCCGCTGGGAAGACTTTGCAACGTGTTGAGATTGCCTGCACTCAGTGATCTTGCTAGCTTCATCTGCATCGCAGGTTTACCTGAATCTTGAGTTTGGGTGCAGGATGATGTCGATGTGCTCAATCTCACTCTGTTAAGCTTGCTGCACGGAACGAGGCTTTCGGGACTCCCTCCTCATCATTCTGCGCGATTCTGGCAATTGAGATTGCCTCCTTCCTCATGACGCTCGTGCGTAAGGGCATCATTGAGGCGAGGTACTCTACTGCTACTGCGAAAGTCGTTTGGGTGTGAAGCCCTGTCCTTTCCAATGGCGAACGGTACCTGTTTGGCAGGCGAGAACATACCACATTCTATACGCAGCATCGCCGGTTGGACCGCAAGTAGATCCGCTGTTTCAGAAAGGTTCAGAAACGATACTTGCTGGCTGTTCTTCCCGTGACATCTTGGAGCAAAGTTATAGAAGAGTCTGAGTGACTGAGTAGTTCTCAAGTCACAGCTGAAAGGCTGTTTATTATGTTCCCCGTTTTGGTGGCGACTCTACATTCCGGAGACGCAGTTGCAGAAGCAGCTACGCTCCGATGTGCCTCGTGCTCCAGACTGTAGAGTCTCTAGAGTACGTGTTGCGAATGCACGATTCTTCGGCCTTTTCTGCTCCATAGACACAGCAGAGGTTTATTTATCGGGGCCTTGGGCATCGACATCCGCATCAAGTACGGGCTTTCGAAGTACACCGCATGGCTTGTGGCTATACCCGCAGGACTTGCCAAAACTCATGCTTTCAGAAAGATGAACGGAAAACGAGGCACATCAGGCATTAATCAAGGGAGGGATCGGGAAATGAGCAAAGACATGGTGACCTTGGTTTGCACAGCGTGGAAGCGCCGGCAGTTAGGCTTCAAGTGATGGTTTACGGTGGTTGCAGCTCACACGCTCGGCAACAGGATATATTCTGGCAGACACCTTGTCGATGTATGCCAACGTGAAGCTGTTTTTCGCATGGCCTGGTATGATGTGGTCAGCATCTGACACACTTCGAGGACGCTTGGTCATGAACAGCAACCCACCTTTCAGATCTTGCCACCTTTGTGGCATTTCTCAGTTTTATCACATAGATCAACAACTTTACTCTGAGGCTTTTTTCAAGCGCGACAGCAGAGCAATGCCTCCACTGCTGCGCCCGAAGGCCATGTTTCTGTTTCTGAGAGAATAACAGCTCGTTCTTGTGCCGCAGTCTGCATGGCTCCTTTTCCTGTACCACTGTCTGACGGTCTGACCTGGCCAAATGCTGTTACAGATACTGCTGCTGGTGTTGCTGCTTTGCTGCTCCACCTTCTACGACTCCCACTGCTCGTATTGCCGCTGCTGCTACGATCATTGTAACTGCCGCTAGTACCACGACCGTGGCTCTCGCTCCCAATGCTGCTGCTAGCGTTACTGCTGCACTGCTGCTGCTGATGCTGCTGCTACCGACATGGCTACCACAAGTACTTCTGGTGCTTCTGCCGCTGCTGCTGTTGCTGCTGCTGCTACTACTACTACTACTACTACTACTACTACTACTTCTACTACTACGACTACGACTTGTGACTACGACTACGACTACGACGACGACTACTATTGCTGCTGCTGCTGCTGCTGCTGCTA